CCATAGCCAATTGAGAGTGAACTCGTATCTGAAAGCCATACATCTGAGTTTTGAGTGGGCGCATTTCGCCAGTATGCTGCGTTGCTGTTTACATGTGTGAAAAGTGTGTTTGAAAACGAGTCTGATTGCAAGAATACGTTGGGGTAAAAAAAAAAAAAAAAACGAGCAAGAAAAGACGAAAAGACGGAGAAAAGAGTATACAGACGAAATGAAGCGCAACGCCGGGACCCTCCTCGTGTTCTATGCTCTCTCTTTTCCAGGTCCCATCTCCTCCCCCCTCCCCCCCCCTGGCACAATAGGACCTTTTTTGGCTGGATCTGGACGCTATTGCGATAAGAATACTGTTGGGGCAAAAAAAAGAACAGACGAAATGAAGCAACGCGGGGACCTTCCTCTTGCGTTCTATGCTCTCTCTCTTTTCCAGGCCCCATCACCCCACCCCCCGCCCGCTGCCCAATTCATTACTTCTCTTTTCTATTTTTGTCATTAATTTTATCTTTTTTTTAACAAAAGGCCCAACCCAATCTCAACAGATCGTGACGACAAGGCCACTGTGCGGCTTACAACACCCCGCCCGTTTCCTAAAAAATTGGATCAATCATTTTAAAAATTTGGATCAATCATTTCAAAAAATTGGATCATTTCAAAATTTTGGATAATTTCTCAATTGAAATACAGTAATTTATGCGTGTCATCCTTGCGCAGGGGCCATCCTCATCTTCTTTCTCTGAATCGTTACCAATTATAACGGATGCCCCAGAAGGACTTCTCCCTTTTTAATTTTCTTTTATTTTCTAACTCGCTAATAGTTCATTTTTTCTTAGTTTAGTTTTTTTTCCCTTTTTTTCCATTTCCCCCCCCTTTCCCCCCCCTTTTTTTCCCTTTTTTTTTCCTCTTTGATGACGTGTCACTACTCTGGATGTAATTGAGCGGGGGATTCCCACACACCCGTCGGCTTACCGAAGGCGCACTTTCCCACGTAGTGACACGTCATCAAAGAAACACGTCATCAATCATGTGTGATCGAGGACGGACTGTCCCGACCGACACGTCATCGTGTCCACGTGGCAAAGACATCGTCAAATGAAAAACTTCAAATGGGCGCGGCAGAGAAAAGCTATTTTGAAATTTCCACATGAAAGTAGAAACACAAAGAGCAGGGAGTACGAGGACAAGACAAGCGGGAAAAAAAAAAAAAAAAAAAAAGAAAAGAAATGGTGAGTATGCATTAAAAAACGTGTTACTCGCACAGATTTCTCTAATTGGGTGGTTCACAGCGGAGGTGTCAACCTTACCATCAGTTCGTACGACTCTCTCTCTCTCTCTCTCTCTCTCTCTCTCTCTCTCTCTCTCGCACGCGCGGCCAGTTCTCCAGCACCCCTTTTCTAAAAGCGAGTAATGCGACGTGACTCCGAGAGGAGAGACGAGTCGCTGCGTCCTGAACGATATTGGTCTCATCCTTTGCGCAGTTAAAGGTCGACGTTTCTGGCCGCAATCTTGGCGATATACAGTAATATCTTATCTATGTGCGATATACAGTAATACTCCTTTGGGCATTTAACGTTGACGTTCCTGACCGCAATCTCGGCGCGCTTTGAAAACCGAAATGGTAAGGTCCTGGTGGCGGGAACCCGATAAACCCTGACGACTTCGGTTCAGAAAGCGCCGAAATTGCGGCCAGGAACGTCAAAGATAAATATGGCCAAAGGGGTAATAAGTATTTTCAATTACATACACATACATATGTATATCATATGTGTATAGACATAAACACAGATATACACACACCTCACTATCGAACCCCTCTCTCTCTCTCTCTCTCTCTCTCTCTTGCTCGCTCGCTCTTTCTACATACCCATACACAGATCTCCACATACATACATATATATATATATGACGATATATATAATATCTGTTAATAGAGAAAGAGCAATAACAGCGAACACCAGAAGAGAGAGAATGGATAATGTAGCGTCACTTGATGCATCCTCCGAATTGACCATACGGTGATTGTGCATGTATCAGGAGCAATTTTCAGTCTAGATACAGCGATAATAACCGGACGTTTTATTCGGCGGAAGACGGAAGTGCGACAGTACGTAGGAGAGATCTCCGATCCTTACTATGTACAATCTTCCCCCGAATAGAACGCGCACATCAGAGAGAGCAGGCATTACACACCCAATGGATATGGACTCATTTTCAGTCTAGATACAGCGCGACTGTCCGTTCTATTCGGGGAGAGACGGTAGTCCACTCTCAGGGAGAGGAGGCATTACACCCCCAATAGACATTGTTGACAAAAACAATTCATTCGCGCAATTTCAACCGACTAATCAAAATTTTGGACCTTCAAGAACAATCAGTGTACCCTCCCCTACCTTGGCTTCTGAGCATTTTCCCGCCAACTGAAGCCTTGCTAATGGCTTCAATCAATCAAGCCCTCATGTCTTTCCACCTCCTAGAAGGGGGGGGGAGGGAAAAACAAAACAACAACGCTCTCCCACGATGCATACATAACATGAGGGCTTGCAATTCAACCCCCCCCCTTGGAGGGGCAACCGCTTCCAATTCTGTCAACTTGAAGGAAGCCAACCAAAAGAAAGAGAGAACAAAGAGAGAAAAGAGAAAGAGAATCCGCAAAAAAAAAAAAAGGATAAAAAAAGAGAAAGAGAACGAGAAAAAGAAGGAGATCGTTTCACCAGACTCGTCTTCGGGCCCTTCATCAACTGGTCTGCTCCTCTCTCTCTCTCTCTCTCTCTCTCTCTCTCTCTCTCTCTCTCTCTCTCTCTCTCTCTCTCTCTCTCTCTCTCTCTCTCTCTCTNCTCTCTCTCTCTCTCTCTCTCTCTCTCTCTCTCTCTCTCTCTCTCTCTCTCTCTCTCTCTCTCTCTCCTGCTCCTCTTTCTCTCACACACACAGACACACACGAGCACAAACCCCACGCGCGCAGAGTCGTAGGCGCACAGATCTCTCTCTCGCGCGCTCGTTCTCGCTCTCTCTCTCTCTCTCTCACACACACAAACACATACATACAGACGCACACATACATACAGACGCGGAAGAAACAAGCACAAAACACAGATGAACATACAACCCCAGGCGCGCGCGCGCGAGTCGACGGCTATCTTCACGGTCCGTCAAGGTAGATAAATCCAATCTAATCATAGCCGTGAAAATAGCCGAGAAACAGCAGCAGCAGCAGGAGGAGGAGGAGGAGGAGGAGGAGGAGGAGGACGACGACGAAAGGGAGGGAAAAGGAGATGTAGGAGGAGAAACAGGAGTAGGGGAAGAGGAGGAGGGGGGTGAGGAGAAAAGCATTGACGTGAGGCACATGTACTTGTATGAGGGGCGCAGGATGAAACATGAACTTTACTTGAGTTGAAAAACTGACTGAGCGGGCGTCAAATTACAATCACTCCGATTTCTATCGATTTCTATCCTCCTTCCCTATCAGATTGCCTCTCTACCACGGCTGCTAGCCCTTCCTCCCACCTCCCTCCCACTGCTGCTAGCCCTTCCTCCCACCTCTCTCCCGCTGCTGCTAGCCCTTCCTCCCACCTCTCTCCCGCTGCACTGCACTCCTGTAGCCTGTAGCATCTGCCGCTCCTCCACGGGATCATTTGTCTCTTCCTTCACCCGGTAATGTTATGTTCAATCACTAGCACAACATTTTTTTTTCTTTTTCTTTAATAATGCCAACAACATATGACCTGCTTTGTCTGTCAAAACGGGGAAAAAAAAAGAAAGAAGAACGACAAGGACGAGAAAAGGAGTAGACGAGAAAGATGAGAAGAAGAAAAAGGTATTTTCCACTTCAAGGGATGAAAAAGAAAGAAAAAAAAAAAAAAAGGAAAACGGAGAAGAAGGAAGGAGACGAGTCCAACTCACTGCTCGGGAGTCTTCCTGCAAACGGAAGCAAACGGGCGACAAACGGGCGACAGACGGCGGCACGCTACCAAAGGCGCGGGCAAGCGGAGAGAAGCGGGAACAAGCGGAGCCCTCTTGCAAACGGCAGCAAACGGCCGGCAAGCGGGCGACAATCGTCGGCGAACGGCAATTATGGACGGCGGCACTTTATCAATGGCACGGACAAGCGGAGAGAGAGAGAGAGAGAGAGTGAAGCGGAGAGAAGCGGAGAGCAGGGGAAAGGTACAGAAGCAACACGCAACAAAGTGGTACAAGAGAAGGATCGTATAAGCTACGGCTCATACGCTGCACCTGGACGTTCTTCGTCAGCTGGGGCTGCTCCCACCAAGGATGCCGTACATAATTCAGGTGCTCTTCGCATGTATTGGACCTCAATCACAGGTACATTCAGTCAAAACTTTGCCGATGTGGCCCCTTAACTGAGCTGCTAAGTGCACGCGGTGGCGGGGGGATACATCAATTTCTCCTTTGGGCTAAGCGCTGCGTCAGCAAATCTGCGCAGCGGATTAATAATATTTACCCCCCGTTTTTTTTTCTCGGTATTTAGCGCCTTATTATTGTTTTTCTTCATCCCCCTTTTCTTCCTTTTCTTCAGTAGTTACCCCCTTTTTTCCCCCTTTCCCCTTGGGATTTCAATTATGAACGGGCTTTCCGGAAAAAGAAAAAGGAAAACACAAAACGGGCCGAAAGAATTTGAAAGATTATGCAAGATTTGAGAGAAGAATATAGCGTAGTTTCATATATATATTTATACATATAGACTAGCGTCAAACAAAGATATATAAACATCAATCAAGTTCGTAATTTATTATTATTATTTTTTTTTCACTTTTTTTTAAGTTCGTAATTAACAGCACGCAGCCCATATTATTTTGCTTTTTTCGTCTTTTTGGAAAAGAAAAGCGCGACGGCCTTTAAGTGTCATCATCATTGATTACTGAGCGACCTCATGTAATACAAAGCTAGGATGGTACGAGCTGGATTCGATCCCAGTTCAGCTTGTCAACGTCACATGGGTGCACAATTCTTTTTTTTTTTAATAAAGCTGCACAATTCACCCACATGAGCTGGGTGAGCCAATAATGAACACTTTTCACACCAATCAGCAATCGGCGAAATTCTGTCTGTGACACCAATGAGCTGAGCTCAGTTGGTACACCCATAACCAGCTGGAACCACGTGAACGAAAAACTGTTGAAATGAGATACAGACGTGTGTTCGAAACCAGATGGAACCGCATGAACGAAATTCCTGAATTACCTAAGGCCGGTCAGTTTCACGATGATATCTCAAGACCGTCGCCCCTACAGCAGTTGGTACACCCATAACTGTGACCAGCTGGCCTGCGTGAGTTAGTACGCCC